AAACTTCTCTGTCTCGTGGATTTTTGAAGGAATTCGACTGGTGTGTTTCTAAATATAGATAATCATTAAGAGACGACATGCTCAACAAACACATCTCGTCAGATAAACAAGACTGATTATAACAGTCAATCACACAACAGGAGTCATTCTCTAATCTTTACCGTACTCATCCTTCTCCCATCAAGAACCCGACAATAACACTGATCACTCCACACTATACATACATGTAATTATCACCATGGTATAACGACCCATCCCTCCCTACTCCACACTCTACATACATGTAATTATCACCATGGTATAACGACCCATCCCTCCCTACTCCACACTCTACATACATGTAATTATCACAATGGTATAACGACCCATCCCTACTCCACACTCTACATACATGTAATTATCACCATGGTATAACGACCCATCCCTCCCTACTCCACACTCTACATACATGTAATTATCACCATGGTATAACGACCCATCCCTACTCCACACTCTACATACATGTAATCATCACCATGGTATAACGACCCATCCCTCCCTACTCCACACTCTACATACATGTAATTATCACCATGGTATAACGACCCATCCCTCCCTACTCCACACTCTACATACATGTAATTATCACCATGGTATAACGACCCATCCCTCCCTACTCCACACTCTACATACATGTAATTATCACCATGGTATAACGACCCATCCCTCCCTACTCCACACTCTACATACATGTAATAATCACCAAGGTATAACGACCCATCCCTCCCTACTCCACACTCTACATACATGTAATTATCACCATGGTATAACGACCCATCCCTCCCTACTCCACACTCTACATACATGTAATAATCACCATGGTATAAAGACCCATCCCTCCCTACTCCACACTCTACATACATGTAATTATCACCATGGTATAATGACCCATCCCTCCCTACTCCACACTCTACATACATGTAATTATCACCATGGTATAACGACCCATCCCTCCCTACTCCACACTCTACATACATGTAATAATCACCATGTTATAATGACCCATCCCTACTCAACACTCTACATACATGTAATTATCACCATGGTATAATGACCCATCCCTCCCTACTCCACACTCTACATACATGTAATTATCACCATGGTATAATGACCCATCCCTACCTACTCCACACTCTACATACATGTAATAATCACCATGGTATAATGACCCATCCCTCCCTACTCCACACTCTACATACATGTAATAATCACCATGGTATAATGACCCATCCCTCCCTACTCCACACTCTACATACATGTAATTATCACCATGGTATATTGACCCATCCCTCCCTACTCCACACTCTACATACATGTAATTATCACCATGGTATATTGACCCATCCCTCCCTACTCCACACTCTACATACATGTAATTATCACCATGGTATAATGACCCATCCCTCCCTACTCCACACTCTACATACATGTAATTATCACCATGGTATAACGACCCATCCCTCCCTACTCCACACTCTACATACATGTAATAATCACCATGTTATAATGACCCATCCCTACTCAACACTCTACATACATGTAATTATCACCATGGTATAATGACCCATCCCTCCCTACTCCACACTCTATTTTCATGTTTTTGTTTAAGAATCCCTACATGTATTATATATATATATATAATAATCACTCTACAACATATTAATAAATAGCTTTCTGTTTAGGTTAAATGTCATGAAGAAAAATTGTCCTTTAGAAAAAAAACTCTACATACGGTTTGATATATGTGTTTGTAACCTTAATCAAACATATTTATAATTGTTCACGGCTATTCCCTCCCTACTCCACACTACTACATACATGTAATTATCACCATGGTATAACAGTCAATCACACAACAGGAGTCATTCTCTAACCCATCCCCTCCCTACTCCACACTCTACATACATGTAATTATCACCATGGTATAACGACCCATCCCTCCCTACTCCACACTCTACATACATGTAATTATCACCATGGTATAACGACCCATCCCTCCCTACTCCACACTCTACATACATGTAATTATCACCATGGTATAATGACCCATCCCTCCCTACTCCACACTCTACATACATGTAATTATCACCATGGTATAACGACCCATCCCTCCCTACTCCACACTCTACATACATGTAATTATCACCATGGTATAATGACCCATCCCTCCCTACTCCACACTCTACATACATGTAATTATCACCATGGTATAATGACCCATCCCTACCTACTCCACACTCTACATACATGTAATAATCACCATGGTATAATGACCCATCCCTCCCTACTCCACACTCTACATACATGTAATTATCACCATGGTATAATGACCCATCCCTCCCTACTCCACACTCTACATACATGTAATTATCACCATGGTATAATGACCCATCCCTCCCTACTCCACACTCTACATACATGTAATTATCACCATGGTATATTGACCCATCCCTCCCTACTCCACACTCTACATACATGTAATTATCACCATGGTATATTGACCCATCCCTCCCTACTCCACACTCTACATACATGTAATTATCACCATGGTATAATGACCCACCCCTCCCTACTCCACACTCTACATACATGTAATTATCACCATGGTATAATGACCCATCCCTCCCTACTCCACACTCTACATACATGTAATTATCACCATGGTATATTGACCCATCCCTCCCTACTCCACACTCTACATACATGTAATTATCACCATGGTATAATGACCCATCCCTCCCTACTCCACACTCTACATACATGTAATTATCACCATGGTATAACGACCCATCCCTCCCTACTCCACACTCTACATACATGTAATTATCACCATGGTATAATGACCCATCCCTCCCTACTCCACACTCTACATACATGTAATTATCACCATGGTATAATGACCCATCCCTACTCCACACTCTACATACATGTAATTATCACCATGGTATAATGACCCATCCCTCCCTACTCCACACTCTACATACATGTAATTATCACCATGGTATGTTGACCCATCCCTCCCTACTCCACACTCTACATACATGTAATTATCACCATGGTATATTGACCCACCCCTCCCTACTCCACACTCTACATACATGTAATTATCACCATGGTATAATGACCCATCCCTCCCTACTCCACACTCTACATACATGTAATTATCACCATGGTATAATGACCCATCCCTCCCTACTCCACACTCTACATACATGTAATTATCACCATGGTATAATGACCCATCCCTACTCCACACTCTACATACATGTAATTATCACCATGGTAAAATGACCCATCCCTACTCCACACTCTACATACATGTAATTATCACCATGGTATATTGACCCATCCCTACCTACTCCACACTTTAAATACATGTAATTATACGTCATTGGTTGTTTTTTCGATCCTTGTATCAGAAGAGAACACTTAAAATCTGAAGAAAAGCAAATGATGAACTTGTTTTACAGCCACCACGGTCAGATTGCCGTCAATCAAGTATCGATACTTGATGTGTTACCATGACTACCACGTTCCTGTACTAGAAAGAAACAAAGTTAATGTTTTATTTTATTATGATCAAGGAAAACGACACACAGACCTCTATCGAAAGCTCGTTAGTGATGCTAAGGGCCAAAATTTCGAAGCCTTGGAGGCGACCGAGGAAAAATGACATATCACCATTCTTAAATTTCAACCGTTACATAGTACAGTTTAAAACAGGTATCACAGAGAAAAGAACGGTAATTCGGGCAAACTTTCATTGATTGAGTAATAACTGTGGTTCCGGATGTCCTGAATGTATTGAGAAATAGTCAGAGTTTTATCACAATGGAAATGAGTCAGCAATACAGGTGTCGTCCGAAGAGCTTGTAGAAACATGAGCAGGTGTTATCTTCTGTTTAATATCTGATAGTTATCAATATATATCTGTTGTAGTGAACAAGGTTATGTAAACAATTATCTATAACAGGATTTCTGTAATAATCTTCTTAGCCCTCCTGCTTTGGCACTTGTTGTTTAGCAAACCAGTTACTAATGTCTTTCTGTGCAATACTGATGATGTATTTAAAAAAGAAAAGAGAAAGTAGAAGCGAAAAGGTGAAATGTAGGAAAGGAGAAATGACAATAGTTAAATGAAATGAGTTCAACAATATTTTAAGAAATATATCGGTCACGTGTTATGAGACAGATTATCTACAAAGTAATGAGTATAGAAAATACACGGCCTCAACAAATATAGTGTCGGATGTTTTATACATATCATTTCTTTTAAAAAAAAGTTCACATAATATGTAAAAAATATACAATCGTAATACAAAAATAAAACAATATAAACAAACAAACAAAAACACCAAAATCTAACAGCTGAAGTTAAATTCCAATGCAACAAAATGACAGCATAATACATTATAGATAAAATCCTGAAACGACTTCGTACAATTGGGGTAAGACCGTTCTGCAAGGTTGGTGTTTTCTGTTGCAATTGTATAAATCTAGGCGAATTCAAGTCAGTCGTGATAATAAGAATGAAACTGCCAGTTACCACAAAAAACACCAAATGCATCGAAATTTACATTGCACAACTAAAAGAAGGAATATTTCATCTGAGGTCCCAATAACACATCAGAACATTTTGACTTGGACTATCAAAACTGTGTGTTTGCGAATGTTCGTGAAAAATTTATATTCAGACAGAAATCCTATTAAATACGATCAAACTAAAGAGTAAGGCATGAATCGCTGATACGGAGCGATATATGAAGGGGTATCTTATCCTGACAGCTCTGTAAGTATCACGTGACATTATCAATGAATACGGCATCACACATTTGATGACCCCCGATTCTGCGCAGTTCGTCCATTCAAAGAAACCTTTGTCTCGGTCACCAGACCTTCATTTCCAAGTGCCTCAGTCTCTTATTCGGGTTAATATTACATTGAAGATTCGATTACTAACTATGGCAAACTTGGGGTATTTGATAACAGGTAAATATGATTGTCTTATTATCTGTAAAATTAAATGCATAATTTCATATTGTAGCATCATAATGTGATTGTTTTGTATTTTACAATAACTACAATGTTTTGTACATTCCTTCGTTTCCACTTTTACCACAGTTTGTGTGTTGTTTATTCTGTCGGTTTCCGCGAACGCACAGTGCGCCCAAGCAACCAATTGTTTGAGCCACCTCGGAATCAACATATCTGCCATTACCCCTAGCGGTGGGGTCTCTGGTGACCTAACTGTGATATGTAGGTATGCACATCATATATTCGAGGCCAGTAAAGAAAGCGCGAAATTTAAATACCCATTCACTATTTTTTTTATAATCTATATCTAATGTACTTTAAAAGCGTATTACAATACTGTTTTGAACTACAAGGTACCAGATAGCTAATTGTGATCTACCATTAGACAGCTTATTGTTAACTACAATATATAGCTAGATAGCTTATTGTTAACTACAATTTTTAGCTAGATAACTTATTATGAAATACAATACACCCGATAGCTTATTGTGAAATACATGGTATTTGATAGCTTATACTGTGAAATACAACGTACTATAGAGCGTATTGTGAAATAGAATGTATTTAATATCTTATTGTGAAATACAACGTACTATAAAGCGTATTGTGAAATAGAATGTATTTAATATCTTATTGTGAACTACAATGTACTAGATAACCTGTTGTGAACTACAATGTACTAGATAACCTATTGTGAAGTACAATGTACTAGATAACCTGTTGTGAACTACAATGTACTAGATAACCTGTTGTGAACTACAATGTACTAGATAACCTGTTGTGAACTACAATGTACTAGATAACCTGTTGTGAACTACAATGTACTAGATAACCTGTTGTGAACTACAATGTACTAGATAACCTGTTGTGAACTACAATGTACTAGATAACCTGTTGTGAACTACAATGTACTAGAATAGCTTAATATCGACTCCCACAAATCGAAACAATTAAATGTTATATACTCACGGTTAAGTTTTGTTTTCAATCTAAGTCAAAAGCAAATGATTTTAACAAAGCCACTGCTTCCTAAAAAGAAATTTTATGCTTGCCCTCCGTTTTGAAACTTAAAAAAATCCCCCCCCACCAAAAAAAACCGATAAGTACAAAAATGGTGGTTTGTTTTGATTCCATAAAGGGATTACAATATCCAATATCTTGTATATATAGTTACGCTTTAGTGTTCATCGTCATTTATTTATTCTTCCAGAAATACTAGCCAGGTGGTGCATTGTTACGATATACTAACCGCATGCCCCGATCTCGCTTCGTTCAGCAATCTGTTACCAGGGAAGAACCAAATGCGGAAGGCAATAACAACGGTTTGTCAAAACGAAAATGGTGAGACAATTAATATTTACTAATATCTACCACTTCGGTTTACTGCGTCAACACTACAGAAAATAGGGACAGCGAAATGGATGATAGAAAAAGCGTCAATACCCAAACAAAATCATTTATATTATATATGCATATTGCAGATGGCGAAGAAAATTGTCTTGCAGATTAAACAGATTTGATACTTTGCAGTTGTCGCGTGTATTGCTTACATGGAAAATCTTGAAAACGTCCCAGATGAATACGACCATGGGTTCCTGAAAAGTAAGCGCTTTCTGCTTCAAATTCGCCAAATAAACCTTGGTCAATCCAAGTGAGTAATGTCGCGTTCTCAAATGAGAACAAAGTATCAAACAACGTAACCAACAGGCAAATAGACCGGTCAATGCATTACAGATACCGTGCGTGGGGGAGTACTGGTTACAGCAGTACAGATACCGTGCGTGGGTGAATACCGGTTACAGCAGTACAGATACCGTGAGTGGGGGAGTACCGGTTACAGCAGTACAGATACCGTGAGTGGGTGAATACCGGTTACAGCTGTACAGATAACATGTGCGGGTGAATACCGGTTACAGCAGTACAAATAACATGTGCGGGTGAATACCGGTAACAGCAGTACAGATAACATGTGCAAATGAATACCAGTTACAGCAGTACAGATAATGTGCGTGGGGGAGTACTGGTTACAGCAGTACAGATAACATGTGCAAATGAATACCGTTTATGTATTTGATTCAATTTTGATGTGGTACTAGGGAGCCAAAATAGAGATTCTTAATTATTTCGATGTTGTGAAAGTAATAACCTTGTTTTTTGTTTATTTTTTTTAAGTTTTGTTTGATAGGGATGTCTTTACAGTTGAATGAGTTTATTATTTTGGATACCGTATATGTTTGCGAAAGAAATCTAGAAAAATAGGAAGACACCATACATGTATTATATATATAATCGCGATATCTTAAACACGTACACAAACAGTTCTAACATAGTGTGTACGACTGTGATATCGTTGAAGAAAACACGAATCGGTGCGGTTGGATCCTATATTTGCTAAGTGAATATTGTTTTTTGATGTGGTGTCGTGAAAGCAGAAAACAATGTATATGATTGAGCTGTATTACGCAGTATTTTAATATTTCTATAGTGTTTTGATAAAACATGGGTACTGTGAATTCCTTTTTAAGAATAAACATCTTTACATCCAGCTCGGTCTTCATATTGCGTAGTCAAATATCATTTGTAAGCAGAAGCCAAGAATCCATTTGCAAGAGATGTTGAGAATTCACAAATGTTGGTAGGTGTTGAAAATTTCAAGTTTTTTTTTTTATTTCAGTGTTGGAAGGCGGGTTTGCTTGTCTCGGACGAAACCCCACTTTTCCTTCAGAGATCAGTGGTTGCGCTACCCAGGTGAGGAGAAAAGCTTCGTCCTTGACTCCGTCACAAATTAACAACCTTCAAGGAACATTCTGCAGGTACATGTCCGTTGTGAAAACCAATAGGCTCATTTTTAACATATAGATGCCGAGTCCTGTATTAACATAATACTCGATGAACGATCGGGTGCCTTTGATACAGACAGTAAAAATGTCTGTATAATATACATTATATATAAAGTTTGACCAGAGGATAACCATTATGATCTTTTTTAAAATTGGCGGTGCCTTTATTGATTGAGAAGTACTGGCGAGGCGTTGTAAAGCCAGTTTGGAACTAAAGAAGACAAGATGTTTGTTTGTTTCTCAATTGTGAAGACAGATATACCTTAAGGACAAGAATTATAAAATGGCTAAACAGATTGATTAAGAAATAAATACGCGAATTGATTGAAGTAGAATTGAGTTAAAAGTCAGGTTTTATTTTTGTAGTTTGATGGACTCTCTACTGACCTGTGTCACTTCCATGTCATCTGTGCAAAGTTGTGGAAGCGACTTCAAATCAACTTTAGTGACCTTTGAGCATGAATTGCTTCCAGCGACATGCCCAGCGAACTCAGGATGCTCCAAAATGGACTCCTTGCTATATTTCACTCTCCTTGGTGCTGTGATTCCATCGATTTATAAAAGACTGTAAATGAACTCTCCTGACTTCATTTCTTTGGTAGGGTCAGTGGAACTAGAATTTTATAAACATCATTCAAATTAAAATCATTGAGATAGAAATTCCCCTTCATAAATTCGCTAAAATCAAGAAAAATGTGTTAAAAATTTGGGGAAAATGTTCTTATTTGTCTATACTAGCAAGTCCTGCATAATTCCCACCTGTTTCCAGGAGTCATACTAACTCATGCGGTAGAGCGCTGGCCTATATGAAGTTCTGAGATGTGTAGTGGAAACCACCCTACCTCTTTTGTGTGTGAGCTTTTTTTTCAGGAAACTTACAGGCCTGTCTTTGCTGAAGTGGTGGTGTCTATGGGCAAGACACTATACCTTAGTTGCTTTGAACAGTATGCGACGGGTCTCCATTTGTTGTTCAGCGAGGTGACCCCCTGCTACTATAAGGAGACCTTGCCTCGAAACGATCCTAGGTATTCATATGGCGACAAACTAAAGAGGAAAAAACACACACTACCTCCCTCACACACGCTAACACAAAGATACACCTTTTACGTATAACAACAAACGCTGTCTGAATGTTGTCGCTTGAATTCTGTCACTTCTTCATTTAAATATTACGTGACATCATAGAAAAAATATTACCTGTGTGTGATTACATTTAATCATTGATATTAAGGACCTAAATTTCGAAGCCTAAGAGACGGCTGAGGACTGTTTTAGATCTTTAGCGTCATGTACATGAGTGTATTCTGGAAACGTGGCATGCAGATTAAGGAAACCTCGGGACTGAAATCAGGAGACGATGTTGTAAGAGTTGTCTCCCCTGAAAGCAGATTACTCCGCGCACATGAAAACCTATGTAGGATAGAATTTTCATACATAGATGTCTTAATGGGCAAACTCTATCCAACATGGAGGGATAGGAGAGAAAAGGGTTTTCATTGTGTGTGTATGTAGGATAGGGGTATTCCACCCTCGGGATCACAAAACGTAGTAAAATCATCGGCTAGTACTATTCATCTCATAACTTGCAGGACTGATACAAAAACCCAAATTGTTATAATTTGACTCAATATCATCTTTTTGTTGACGCCACAATGTGTATGAGGCCATAAATTATGACGTCATCATGAAAACAGTGAGAGCCCATCACAATAACCATTCCGCTAGATCATATTACACGCGCCCAATAATGAAAATGTATATGATGGATGCTATTGTACTGTCCGTAGGTTACGTATTTGACATAAGTGATGAGATAATTCATTGGGATTGCACTGTTTTACTTTATTTAACATTCTTTTAATCGATGTAATTAAAAAAATAAAAACAAAATATCAGTTCAACATCTAATATTTTTTATGAGCTAAAATATCATATAGATATATTGATGTTTGTCAGTGAACCTAGGATCTTTCCTCTAGTTATTCCATCTCTAACCGGAACGACTTGTCATTCCAGAAGTTTGATGAAGTAGCTGCCCGTTGCAACAAGCTGACCCCATCACAAATTGATCCTGACTATTTACTGGAAATTAAACCTAGCGGATAAAATACAGAACAAAAACAAACACACACTTATGCGTAATAAAAGTGTATCGCAATGATAATTCATGATCAGAAATGTTTCACATTTGTCATATCAGCAAAACTTATAGTAAGATACTATAAAGATGAAATTGTAATTCAGTGTCTCTTAGCTACTTTTATAAACCGATGCTTCAGGATAATTTCGAAATGCTTTTGTAAAATTGTAACTGCAGCTCAAGATTTGTAACCAGACTCTGTCGCTGCTAGTGTTTCTAATGGGCCTTGCATTTCGTTTTCTCCTCCGTTTTAATCTTAACATTAAATGAAGTATTCATCACCTTATCCATCTCTGTCGCGTCCAAAGTGCCCTGGGCTACAGCCACCGTAGCCAGGAAACTGACGGTCGGAGGGTGATTAAGTGGTCGTTATAGGACACTAATTAGTTAATTGAACTATGGGTTCACCTTGATAAGGCAGCAAGACGGTCTGTTTTACGTGCATTACAGTCAAGTATTTTTTTTATTCCTTACGTCTTTTTTTTTATATATGGACTAATGAAGATATTTGAAAGATTGAAAGGGTCTCATAATCAGCCAGTGGTGACTGGGTGTTGATATAAATAAAAATAATAATAAAACATAAAAGGATTAACTCGCATATTAAATAAAATATTTCAAAATAATTAATGAATTTTTGTAGCCTTTTTTTTTTTTTTTTTTTTACCAAACTCAATGTTAAATTGTCAGTTTTATTTCTACACCAACATGCGATATTTTGTGCTAGTGCTGGCACATACCGTATTACATGAATATATTGCTATTTCAGCTTTTATCATGCATTCTAAGATATATTTTAAACTACTTTTGTGCGTGTCAGTAAATATGCAGTGTGTAACTGTTGTGTTTCGGTTCCGTAACTTCGCCAAGCTGGGATATTTCGTTTGTGTTTTGCTTATGACTTGTTTTAAACGTTTGCTCGTAACTTGCTCGTAAACTAAACCGTATATCTTGAACTCAACCGTGTTCCAATTAGCACAGGAAATACAACACCAAATTCACGATCGAGAGGAAAAAAAATGATAATGAAAAAATAAGACCAATTGCAGTTGGGCCCGTATTCATGAAACCATTCTCATGCTCAAGCATAGATTTTGTGCTCAAGCAAACTTTTTAATAATTCGCCTAAATCATATAAAATAATACAAATATCAAATATAAACATTTAATATAACTTTTACTTGAATTCCTTTCAATCTTTTTTAATCTTTTGGCAAAATCAGCAGAGAGAGAGAGTTTCTGGAAGGGTCAACGACACACGCCATGTACAGGTTCAGGATGAAGAGAGTAAGTGGACAGATGTGCTTGTGTAAGATGGTGACATTTTCTAATCACTTTTACTTCATAATTGGAATCGTGGATATATTCTCTTACTGATGTTTCATCAATGAAGATGCTTATCGTCATTTTTTCAGCATCGGCTAAATTAATACAGGCAAATGTTACCCAACTAACAACTTTGCATCCTCGATAATCCAAGGGTTACGACCACCTTCTGCAGAGGATGATGTCCAGGTAAATCGATTTGGCTTGTTTTATATGCTCTTATCTATCCGGGCCTGGAAACATGAGGAAACAACGGTACCAAAGCTAGAAATTACAACAATATACAGTTGAGATGTGGAAAATCTGTTCGTTGTGTTGGTGTAATTACTGCTAATTTCTTCTTGGTTCTGTTGTCAACCTTACTGGCATCGAAGACGTGTTTTTATCAGAGTTGTCTTTCTTGTATCTCATTCCCGGCTCTGACTCATCATAACTTAATTATTGAGGTATTTTGCACTTAAAAACACCAAACGAACATATAGATAATTGATGTTTGATATATTCAACACGTGTACAATCGTAAATAGAACGTGGCCATACCCTTATACATTGTTGTCCATGTGTATACCAAGAGACCGTTGTTAACATATGGGCTTCCGTACAAAACCGCATACAACGCCCTCGTTCGGCGCACCAGGGACAAGTCACTCTTCGTGACCACACACACAGTACACTCTGTAGTACACGAGCTCGCGTGACGGACTTACACACACGAATACCAACAACTGTTTTTCATATTGGACAGGTGGATTACTATTTTTCACAATTTCAGCTAGTTTTGGTAAGTACACATTTTTGTCTCCTGTACCTGTCTCCCTCGCCCGTCACCCTAGATCATGTCATGCCTTTACCTTCCCCTAGTGTACAACAGTATAACGACATTCCGACCTATTCAAAGAGATGAAACACAACTACAGATACGTATATAGGTACCGGTGACATTCTTAGGATTGTCTTGATGACACCGGTATGTGAAATGACCATTTACTGATTGTAACACTAAAGGGGTAAAACTGTATCCATTTTACCTGTCTTGCAGGTGCGAATATCAGGTAGCGTGGCCAAATTTTTACGTGTACTTCCGTTTTATTATATACACATTTAATGAAGGTTATAATCGGGGATTAGGAATGGTACATAAATATTTATACCTACATTATAGGTAAATTATCAAACACAACAAATGTAATACCCTTGTATACCTGTAGAACAATCAGTGAACAGGTAAGTATTAATAACGTGTGGCACCTGTCGTATACACACCAGCTTTAATCAACAAATGAGGAATTGACCATATAACGTCTACTGTTACAAACCAGTAGGAGTTCGTACACGTTGCTGACAGACATATGTACGTGATCGGGGTATATAGATTATCGGAGATCGATTTATTACGCGTTTGGGACTGTAATAGTGTCTCCCCTGGAGGTGATTATGGAAGATATCACTATAATTCAACAGGAAGCTTTCCGGCCTATTAACAAAACCAGAAACAGGCCCCGAGGTGCCCCATGGCTAACTACCCGTCTATGGTTGGGTAGGTCTGGATGAAATCATACATGATTGTTCTTCGGTATGCTTTCAAATTACGAATAAATTCATCTGATTAAACATCGTGTTATATATATTTGTTTATGTGTGTGCATTATCATGCAGATCTAGATCTAAATACGTGGTATTATCATCTTGAGAACGAAATCATAACACCATACCTTCATCAAGATTCTTTATCTGACCACAGACTTATAACACTCTTAATACAACCTGTTGTGAACGTGAAAAAATATAGCCGTCGTGATATTTACAGCCATTTGTGACGGTTTTTTTTCCACAATGAGATTTGACATTATAAAGTTTGACATATACTGGGGGATACATGCCCAGATACAAGTTGTACTGCGATAAAGTACCTTACGTGATGATCCAAACATTTAGGCGAGAGGCTAAATTTAGAGACACAGACTTCCCGTGATTAAAATACCACGGCAGTTGACCGTATATGGAGTTGAATAAATTAGTTTTCATACATGGCCAAGACCTGAATGAGTAATCCATTTGCATGTGTGTAGCGTGAGGAATGGATGATGAAGTGAATGTACTGTGTTGTCGCTGGTATTTGTGCAGCGACGGAAATCCTGCCGATACATTTGCAGTTAAAGTTCACAGTTATAAAATATTGTAGATTAAAAGGTGAGGTATTGTTATCAATAATTGTTTTTCTTGGTAGGAGAGACACGTTAATCTGTCATCACTCACATATCCCAGTTGTTACCCCAAGTTCTTGTGTAATCTCAGACATCGACGAAGAACTGTGATATAGATTTGTATCACAGTGTTAAACCTAGACCCTTAACTAGTAAAATAGGCCCTTGCTGTAGTTTGAACTCTACTTTTTAGTTTTTAACCCCTGTTGGATACCTAGACATGTTGTAGTTAAAAACCTCTGTTGTGTTCCCTCTCCTGCTGTAGTCATTGACCCTTGTTGTAATTTAGACTCATGTTTTCGTTCTAAACTCTATTTTAATACTCTGTCCTATAGTCATAAACCGTTAGACTATTTGATGAAGTCCAAGACCCAAACCCATAGACTCTTTGATGAAGTCCGAATTCCAAACCCATAGACTCTTTGATGAAGTCCGAATTCCAAACCCATAGACTCTTTGATGAAGTCCGAATTCCAAACCCATAGACTCTTTGATGAAGTCCAAAACTCAAACAACATAGACTCTTTGATGAAGTCCAAGACTCAAACAACATAGACTCTTTGATGAAGTCCGAATTCCAAACCCATAGACTCTTTAATTAAGTCCAAAACTCAAACAACATAGACTCTTTGATGAAGTCCAAGACTCAAACAACATAGACTCTTTGATGAAGTCCTAATTCCAAACCCATAGACTCTTTGATGAAGTCCGAATTCCAAACCCATAGACTCTTTAATTAAGTCCAAGACTCAAATAACATAGACTCTTTAATGTAGTCCAAGACTCCAACACATAGTACTTCAAGATTCAATCCCATAGACTATTTAATGAAGTCCATGACCCAAACAACATAGACTCTTTAATGAAGTCCAAGACCTAAACACATAGACACTTGATGAAGTCCAAGACTCGGACACATAGACTCTTTAATGAAGTCCAAGACCCAAACACATAGACTATTTGATGAAGTCCAAGACCCAAACACATAGACTCTTTAATGAAGTCCAAGACCCAAACTCACAGACTCTTTAATGTAGTCCAAGACCCAAACACATAGACTATTTGATGAAGTCCAAGACCCAAACACATAGACTCTTTAATGAAGTCCAAGACCCAAACACATAGACTCTTTAATGAAGTCCAAGAATCAAACCCATAGACACTTTAATGAAGTCCTGTTGTGCACAGCAAAAGATCACTAGATACAGTATACACGTGTTGCTGGTTTGTACAATACACATTTTATAACGTGCAATGTAATGAATTGAAGCCGAGCTAGGTACCGGAACAGCCGGAAATTGGATTAAAACATTTCATGCTTGATGCGTCAGACTTTCCTCCCATTTTTCTTCCTATTCATGTTTATAACTCATCTTTCAAGTGCTTGTGTAGTGTGTAATAATAATACTTGTCAGTCTCCATTTCACGATCGCTAGAGCTTGAGATATTGTGTATTACTTACTATATATTTATTGAAGTAAAGTATGATAAAATTAGTCAGATATTGTGATTCTGGTAAAAGGGTTTTAAACTTTAAAGAAATTGTTTTTATGTCGAACTGACGTGAGTGGACTTTGTGATGACACTTGTCTTTTTTTTTTTTTTTTTAAAGATTTTATATGTAAGTAACGCGGATATACGGTTGGAATGTTTCTAATATTTCTTACTTTCGCGTGTGGGAATGGAATTCTTAGCATACCTCCGTGATTATACAGTGTATATTGGTAAGGCCAGTATGTCACCAGGCTAATTATCATATCGCTAAGTCAGAGAGAGTAACATATTATAACTACCGTCCACAAACTCTCGTCAGTTTCTAATTCTACTAAAAACCTGACAGGTGACAGACATAGCGTTATAAAATTTAGCAGCGATTATATCCTAGTCCATGATTATATATGCCACTGCAGTTCCGCGTATACAACCTGAGGTTATAGTTACTAAGGTATTTATTTTACGTAAGAGACGTTCATATACATATTTATCCCTGGTCACAAGGTTTAGTCCATTGGCTGCTAAGAAAAAGGATGATCATTTGAGGTCAAGCGGTCAGGGAATTTGGACCACGTGAGGTCAAGTAGACTCTATTCATGCTCGGCCGAGGACATCATTTCTTCAGCTAACACAGTTACCGGTTTCAAATTTCTTTGAAAGCTGAGACATTCTGGAGAGTTAAATGTTTGGCCATGAGTTTTGGTTTATAGTACAAGGTCAGAAGGTTGACCGATACCTGTCATATGTATATTAAGTATCAATCTGTGTTATGTCTATCGTCTGCAACAGTCTGTACACAAAGGGTACCGTCAGCAACAGTCTGTACACAAAGGGTACCGTCAGCTACAGTCTGTACACAAAGTGTACCGTCAGCAACAGTCTGTATACAAAGGGTACCGTCAGCAACAGTCTTTACGAAAGGTACCGTCAGCAACAGTCTGTATACAAAGGGTACCGTCAGCAACAGTCTTTACGAAAGGTACCGTCAGCAACAGTCTGTACCGTCAGCACTGTGATGTCATTTCTGTTTGTGATGTCATTTCTGTGTGTTGTCATTTCTTGTAATGTCATTTCTGTGTGTGATGTCATTTCTGTTTGTGATGTCATTTCTGTGTGTTGTCATTTCTTGTAATGTCATTTCTGTTTGTGATGTCATTTCTGTGTGTTGTCATTTCTTGTAATGTCATTTCTGTTTGTGATGTCATTTCTGTTTGTGATGTCATTTCTGTGTGTTGTCATTTCTTGTAATGTCATTTCTGTGTGTGATGTCATTTCTGTTTGTGATGTCATTTCTGTGTGTTGTCATTTTTTGTAATGTCATTTCTGTGTGCGATGTCATTTCTGTGTGTAATGAGTATTTCTCCATGTAAGAAATACTACAGTGTGTCTGAACACGGACATAGATATAGATGGATATGAAACTACCGTGATGGGAAATTTCTTCCGAATGTATTATTCCCGTCTCGTCGCACTCTTGGTTCAGGAGTGAGTCTCAATGTGCTCGCATTATTATAAATCTCCATTGGAAGAGGTCTCGTATTTACTCCTTATGTTTGATAGATAGATCTGTCTGTCGAGTGCTTGTCTCGGGTATCTAGGTAATAAACCCATGATTAGAAAACCTGTTAAGTGTTAGCTTTAGACACTTCGTCTGCTTCATGTAACCCACAATGGTTTGGTAGGGCGTCGGGCAATCTATACGCTTTATATATACTTCACAAGGATACTCAATACGTAAGCTTCAGATTAACTCGCCGGAAACACTCGTCTGGGGTGGGGGAGGGGTATGGAAGTACCCGAAGTAACAACTCTACAGAGAAGGTATCGGCTTCAGATACAATCGCGTGCCTAAGCTCTATCGCTATTAAATGATGCACACCAGGCAACGAACCGTGCTGAATCCACAAAGTTTGTTCATAAGAACATGTATGTGTGACCGTGATAAACCAGGAATCTTGTTCTAAACTGACTTAACTTCGATAGTTCAATGTTTGGAGAAAAATCTGCTATTGACACTAGGTATTGCGCAGTCAAAGAGAAGTTTCGCCCGTGTACGGCAGAATGCCAGATCGCACGGTTTTAG